TAAGGTACCAACTCTACGTGACTGAATTTTTGTTGACGAAGCGCCAAGGCTCTAGAATTCTGAACTTCTATAGGGCAGAAGCTATTCTACTTTCTGTAGTGTCCACTTGGTGGACGGTGTCGGTGTTCAACCAGACAGAACCCAACCTGGCTTACAGAATCATTGGAAGAAAACCTCGTATGGGAAGAGTAATAATCTTTCGACTGAACGTATAGACAGACTAAAGCTTTGAGACTGTTAGAGAAATATGCGCCCAATTTAGAGGGAGAATATGATATCTTCCTCGAGGAAGTGCAATGTGCTCTGTCCGAAGTGCCGAATACAGAGTCCCTCACAGTCATGGGCGATTTTAGTGCGCATGTCGGAGTAGACGCTGAAAAGTGGAACCATGTGATTCGGAAAAAACGGCCCTAACGACCTCAGAAATAACGGCATGATGTTGTTGCGATTTTGTGCAAACAATGGATTCTTCATTTTGAACACCTTCGAGCATCGAAAAGTGCATCAGTATGTCTGGTACCGGAAAGCTTGTGCACAGAAGGCGATGATCGATTTGATAATCGTACCGCATGACTTGCGACACTGTGAACTACGTTTGCATTAAAGTAGCGCAGAGGTATCAAGCTGTTATCATATTGTTCTTGGCGCTGTCCGTTGGAAATGATGTAGCACCACGCAGTGTTCTGGCGGAAATCACAATATAGAGGCGGAAGGCGTTACGTCGAAACGGTTCAGTGTTCGCACTAGTTTGCGCCAAGGCCGCGTTATGTTATATCTTCTGTTTGTGTTGTCATCGCGAGAATGCTCAGACGCAGTCAAGGTGATGAGTGTATGGATGTTGGAGATGTCGAGACGAGAAGGTTGCTGTTTGCAAACGATCTTATTTTATTGGCATGTTTTGAAACTGACCTACAGCGCTCCATGGAAGAGTTTGCAGCCGAGTGCAACGTGGCCGGCATGCGTGTGAAGGTGTCTAGAACAAAAAGCCTCCTCCCGTTGCTATTTTCAGATTATTGGAGAAGCACTGGAGCAGGTGCAGAAGTTAAAGTACCTCGGAGTCGTGTTTTAGAAAAAAGGAGGAATAGACCAGTTGATAGATTGGAATCGCCAGCCACGTTCTGTGGGAAGGAGCCTGAACGTATGTGAGTCAAACAGAAGTGAGTCTGAATCCTGAGCTGTGCGTGTGGAGTTGCCTGTCAGGGATCTTCATCGCAGTGCTCACCTTCGGCCATCAGTCATGGACCACGACTGAAAACCTTCCATTCCGTTCACAGTCGGCTGAAATGGGCTTTTTGAGTCTAGTGGTTGGGTTGATCTTACACTCTCTAGATTGCCCGATGTTCGGGAAACTAAGTGAAATCTTGTGTACAGGTGCCGCTTCTCCAGACTGAAAAGTCACAGCTACGATTGTTTTACCGCCTGTTGCGAATGCCTCCAAAAATTAAGGCATGGCAACTGCTAGTCACCTTGCCGACCGGCAGAAGACCACGGGAGCAATAAAGATTAATTTGGTACAAATGTACCGAACGAGTCATCTTTCGACTCCTGTTATCTTCTGCTGGCACAAGTTCAGGGTAGTTGTCTTTC